GGCTAGGAATACGCGCGTATCCCACAAACACTGTGTTGTCCCGCAAAAGCACGTGTTTGCGTATGTTTTAATATTGTCGTTTTGTGTGACCTTAGCAACAATATCCAAGATGGCGGGGCTTAGCGGAAAGGTCCATTCACTTTAGTTAGAAAATCTAAAAGATGCGGATAATCACATGTTTTTCCTTCTGTAAATTATGGCTTGTTAGCTTTGTTATGTTAATAATTATTGTGCTATGAGGTTTACGACCGTATTCTTAAAACAAACTACAGTCTAACTTCGAACTAGAACTTTATCCTAGTTGCAACTTAAACTTCAATTTATATTCATAAACAACGTAGTTCTAACTACGTCTAAAAGTCCTAGTTATAGTTCAGCTGAAGACGACTGGCAAGTATATCTTTACTCATTCCGGCTGGCCTATCCTTATTTAGGGGACACCCTATTAAGGGGTCATCTGTGTTGGTCCCAAAGGTGTCCACTTAATAGTGGTTCTATTGTATTTAAAATTATGAAATGTGGATGTGGTATTATGTAAAGTTCCATTTTATTTGCATATGTTATACAAAATGGTAATGGAAATACCATTTCTAAAGCGCAATGAAATGCAAATATCGAATTTGGTAACTAGATGATTGTTTAAATAATTTTATTATTAATTGGGATAATAAATAATAAATAAATAATAAATGCATATTACATTGAAACAAAATTGGTAAACGAAGTAATTGCGTGTAATTACCTTTATTTGGTAAAAACCCCATATTGTATATCAATTACTGTACTGCACTATGTATTCAGCATCAGATACCGTATGTTATAAACTATTGATATTTGTATTTATTGGAATGTTGATTATGCAGATTATAATTTATTATGCATTACGTATGTAATTGACTAATACAATAGATTAATACCATTAATTTAATAATTATAATAATAATAATTAATAATGAATTAAATAGTGAGGTATAGTTAATAATTATAACAAAACAAGTAAACAAGATAAACGATCGTTGAGCATGCGCAGTGTTCTTCTTTCTTTCAGCCAATCACGTTGATCATCCAAGTGTTAAAATAAGAAAAAAAGGACGAAAATCATTAAAATTGATAATATTACTTCAGGAAATAAATTAATTATTTGGCCTATATTAGGCTTCGCAGAATGGAATTGCAATTATAAAGTCAAAATATCTATAGGTCTATAGGAATGATCTTTCTGCAGTGATGCCTACAATACTGAATATTAAATCGTCAGCCTTTTCCTTTCATTAGTTAGTTCAATATAACATTACATCCTTGTCATTAAATTGGTGGGGGCTAACAACACACTGCATTTTGTTGGCCTATTATTTAACGAAAACGAAATTATTATAGAAAAATTTAAGTCATTTATATGTAGCTTATTTTCAATTTATATTGTACTATTTTTTTACGTTTCATCCCTTTCCAAAATCAAATCGTGGAGCCCTAAACTTAGTATCTTAAACTTAAAATTGATCGAGTACTATCCCACATATCAAGCCCCTTGAGCATCTTATTTTAAACTACATTATTATTATTATTTGTGGGTGTGTGCTTGTGGTGTAGGTAGGTGGGTGTGTGTGTGTGCGTGATCCGCGTACTTCGGTTTACCTGTACTGTAGATCCTTCAAAAATAATACTGTAAATAAATTTAAAAAAATAAAAGGCTCCACACTAACAAATTTTAAGTGACAAATTTGCCTGAATTGCCCATGGAAATGGTGATTTCATATCACATACATAATTGGACATGATGATGTCTTATCTCATCCATATATGGAGATAATGATGTCATAATAACGAAATATGGGAAAGTTACAGGTAGGCCTATTTTTCACATGAAGTTTAATAGTGTGGATAAATCTTAAAGGCTATTTAAATCATATACATCTACTGATTTCGAAAAACAGAATTAATAACGCTGAGATAGGAAATTATGCGTTGTTGGTGAATAAATATATACGGTAACTTATATAAATACATAAATCATAATCCTAGCCATAAAAATATTACTTCACTAAGTGACATTTGCACAATGACTCACCATTTATGATCCACTCGTCAAATGAGGACGGCACATAAAGAACGGTCAATGTAGGAATGGGGTATGCAGGTTATTAGGATCTTAGTGATGTAACGTCTCTACCAATAATAGTTTTTAGGGACAGATGGGTCATTGAGGCGTTATAGCGTCCCTTCTTTGCAACACGTAGTTTGGTTTGATTAGGGTGGGGTATGCGGGTCATTTCATCTATAGCGTAGTGACGTCCCTACCCTATGATGCATAGTTCCAATTGTATGTAGGCCTATTTTGCATATTTGCCCAAGATGGCACCATTTGTTCTGCAATTTGAATTGCATTTGTACACCTACCAATGTATTGATACCGGTAACTAGCATTGTTATATACATTGTTAATGTATTGCATTAACCGCTACTGGGGGATCGGATTCAACACTAGTCACCAAGTAGTCTAGTCGTTATGACACCAGGCTAGTTATCTAGGTAGTTTGTCCGATTCTCAACTGAATCACTTCCGATTTTTTTTTCGCTAGTATTTTGAAACGTATGGTTCTGTGTATTCAGTACTATAACACATCAGGTAGGGTAAAACATCATTCCAACAATATTATTGTTGACAAAACTATGAAGTGTTTTAAATTTTGTTAAAAATTTTGTTAATTTTGTTACTCCTGAACACCCAAACAAGTATTAACTGTACATATTTTCATCTTTCCATAAACGAAGGCACATAATAAAGTGGATATTGCTGTGCACATGTAGGCAATACACAGAAACATTTTTAATAACAAAAAACAACTGAAAAATTAATATTGCTTTTTAAATAGATATTTATTAATAAACAGGATTACAAAAATAGGTTATAAGTTGGATGCTAATGATTTATTATTATTTTGTTATTATAATTTTGTAACAATACCTAATACCTCTTTATAAGAATGGTTGTGGATACTGGTATTTATGCTACAGTAAAGTTTGTCAAACCACATGTTGAGGTACCACGAAGATTAAGAGAAAATATTAGATTTGGTCTTATACTTTCTCGTTGATGATTTACAATCAATTATACAGTATATTTTTGCTATACAGACCTACTTTAAAGAGCCTATATATTTATTATGCAATTTCTATTAAAATTCTGGCTGTGCAGTTTCAAAATAGAGATCTTTGTAATCATTGTTGCTTTTGTATACATTTTGCATACATACAATTGATCTCGTGATGTTGTGCTCACTTCCATGGACAGGTGGAGGATTTTAATATGTTGTACCAAAGATACTATAAACACAAGATAGAGTTCTCCACAGAAAAATACTGTTCCCCCGAAATGCAATGTGGAAATGCAAACAATGGGGCGCCGCGTACGGCTGGATTTTAAAAAAAAACTTATGTCATCGTTACACAACTGTGAATACATAACCTCCTTTTGCAGAGGTAGAAATCGTTGCCATTATCCTTAAGATACAATAAGTAGGCATTAAATAAATTAAAACAATAAAATGACAGACACCAAAGCGTAGAATCGTATGAATGGGCTCTGATTAGTGATAACGTTTTCCTCCATTAATGGAAAAAGAAGGGCGTCGTGTACGTCTTGATATACTTAGCAACAGAAGGGCGCGCCCTATACGTTTGGACCAAGAGCTATTAAACAACTAGAGTGCTGACAAGATGGCGCAGCAATGCAGAGTTATGTGTGTACCATCCAAGATGGCTGTCGTACTAAAGCGCCACCTTCAGGCTTAGTATACATATTATTAAATATTAATAAGCCCTCTGACTGACTATTATTTCAGTAATGATAATGAGTAATGGTAATAACAAATTATTAAACTATTTTAGCCAAAACGAGGCCAAGTGGAACATCTTATTCAAAAACAAAGCACCAAGGAATGAAAATTAAAATTGTGTACATTACACCCAAACACCGCAACGCTCGAGTTTCAAACATACGGGTAACTAGCTGTACTGAACTTTCTGCGTAAATTGAGGACGCAATTGCAAACGATGGCGCTGAGCGAAATTTGATTGGCAAAATCTATGGCAGCCATCTTGGATGGTACATTGGAAGAAACATTGCGGTTAGCGCTCTAGTATTCTTATTATTATCTCTATGGACCAAGTATAGAAAACTTGTATAAAGGATAAAAAGAGAAGGGCGCCGCGTACGTCTGAACCAATTTCCGCCTCATTTTTGCTGTGCGAGGGCTCTATCTTGTATTTCTAGTATCTTTGGTTGTACGTAACTGAATTTTCTGTCCCCACTATCAGATTTTATACGACAAATAAATGTGATGTGCCTAAATATATGGGCATGGCGATGCTTTATTGCACCTGAATATGGGTGTGTCACCTTTATTTTTCACATAAAATGTGATAGATAAGACACTGGAAGGGATGTTTCATGAAAACTCTTCGGATTCAGTATCTTACAAAATCAGGTTACAACTTATAAAACACTTTTTCCTTAGCCAGGCTTTAAGGTAGCTTAGAAATTAACGATAGCTTATAGTGAGTCAAAATGATTTAAAAGATTGTAGTTGATATAACCTGTAGCAGTGATTCTGGAATTGTGTCCAGTAAAGAGGGCACTGCTGGTCAGCTTCAGTTCCTCTTGGTCCTGATGCCAATGCAATGACCACAGCCAAGGTGATAGCAATACGCAGCATATTAGGCCTATAGCACAGGATTTAAAAGTTTGCGGAAAAGATTTGTAGGCCGTAACCGTAACGCAGCATGAGAGAAGTATATATAATGAGACGTTTAACTTATTCAATTCGATCTTTATTTCAGACAAAATGGACAAAAGTCCATGTTAAACATACAACAAAAAATAGATTGAAGGAGAAAAAACAATAGAAAAACAAAAAAAAAAAAAAAAAAAAAAAAAGAAAAGAAAATGCCATGACTAAAGAAAATTATGCAAAGAGAAGTTGTCTTCATATATATCACAAACACAAAATACAGCAAAAACTCAGATTATTTTGAACTAACGAATATGTGTCAGCCATGCGTTCCTTAAAGCCACAGACTTTCTCAAATATTCATAAAAAGGGGGAATCCCATTGACACTAATTGTTATAATTTAAAATCGTCAAACACTTAAAAAACTTAATTCTAATGCAAATAAAATACAAATTTTGTTCATTTATACAAAAAATGGAAATTACATAAAATGTGACCATATAAACCCACAGGACACCAAATTGGTCTTGTTAAATTAGTGGGACGAGAATTGGAAAACTATATTATTTATTATTAACGAAAATAATCATTTAAAATTATTGAAAATGTATACAAATTTACGCTAGAAAAACACTTCATAATCTAACTTAAAAAAATCTATTCGAAGTTCTATATATCATGCACAAGAGAGTACAGTATAACACATACTCCAATTATCTAAATATACGCCATCGTGCCGGGATTCAATTTCGACATTAATTATGTCATCGTCAGGAATCATGTACCATTATTGTGGACCCGGGGAAAATCCCAAATTTCGTTACAGTATTTATAATGTAATATCTAAGCTTTATACATGTAATTTTATAATTTTTATATCTTAGAAATAACGTTGCAAGGGTTTTTTTCAACGTTGTGTTGACATCAATGTCGGAGTCGGTGTTGACAATATTGTTACTCCGTTAATTGTACCTTACTTTGAATTCGGTCTATGGCCTGTTTTGTGAGACTCATACGGTCAATCTGAAAAATCAATAAGCATTTATTAGCATGCTTATTCCACCCCAAGTTGTCTAAATTCATATGGTTCCACTAGCATCTGAACCATTTCTTAAAGCCCAGCTCTGGAGGAAAAGACACAAAAAGAGTGCTTAACGAAAAACTTGAGAACGGTATATGCGATACAAATTTTTGAATATTTAAAAACTGGTGAAAAAAGGGGTGTAGGCCTATCACCCTTTCCCGAATCCGGGCTTTAAAGTCTCAATAGATATTTAGAACAATCATTTTGCGGCTCTGACTTCAAAACCGAGTCAGCATTTAAATCACAATATTGCACATTATTATATTCAAAGAGGTTACACCATCCCATAATTATGTATGTTTCTTTGCAAAAAAAAAAATATATATATACTCAAAATAGGCCTAATATATTTTTACATTTTCAATTAAGTCAATTTTTAAAATGTTTGACGTATGTACAGGATTGTAATAATAATAATAGAAATAATAATAATAATAATAATAATAATAATAGTAATAGTAGTAGTAGTAATAATAATAATAATAATAATAATAATAATAATAATAATAATAATAATAATAATAATAATTATTATTATTATTATTATTATTATTATTACTACTACTACTATTTCTATATGTATTTTTTAAATGTAAACAGTTTAATGCTCAGAGATAGGTTTAATGTTTTTACCGTGACTATCAGTGCAGGCAGTAAGTTAATTTTTTTCAGTTTTTAATTTTGTTTTATTGCTACATTTCAACGGTATTCAATGTATTGTATTTTATTTGTTGGTAGGGGATTCGTTAAGCACACTTGATGACAGATTTTTGTTTAATTTGCTTTTCTTTCACCCCCGTTAAACCCATTTTGTTGTTTCTTTGTCAGCAGATTGAAAATAAATTAATATAAATAAATGTAATCTTAAAGATTAGAGAAATCTTAAAAAGTCCTACCTTTCCAGTAGTCCATTTCGGGAAACTGTCAAAAATCAACACATAGCCAGGTATACTTTCTTCGAGTCTCACCTAATAAAAGAAATTAATTTTCCATAAGCAAAATAATAATAATAATAATAAAAATAATAAATAAATAAATAATTATATATAAAGAAAAATATAAATCCTACAAACGATAAAACTAATATAATGTAATATGCGAGCATTTTTGTTCTTAATGACGTTTTGAAACAAACGTTTAAAACTATTTGTACCGGATCTAACATAAGACAATTATGAGTAAGATCACACAAAATAACGTCGTATTTAGTTTACGCACCTTTCCAGTTAGGTAAGAGACAATCTCGTCTTTGCCAATGATGGCGTTCTTCTTTGTCCTATTTTCATAAATAAAATAAATACTTGTAACTATAATGCAGCTACGATTATAACAAATAACTTTTATATAGTTATAATAATGAGGTACTGTAGTTTGGCGCAGCGGTTCAGGTTTGGGCTTTCAATCGTAACGTCGGGGTTTCGAGTCTCCGCTGTGCAGATTTGCTTGTGTCCCTGGGCAAAGCACTTTAGCTACATTGCTACAGTCCACCCAGCTGTATCAATGGGTACCAGCAAACTGCTGGGACTAACCTGCAACGGACTAGTGTCCCGTCCAGGGGGAATACAACTCTCATCCGCTTCACACTACAGAAACTGGGAATAAGCTCCAGCCCTATGAGCCCCAGTGGCTCGGAAAGGATTTTTTTTAGTAGTATCTAATGCACAGTGATTCCACTGATTAAAATTATATAATGAGTATAATAGTCTTACATACCTTAAGCAAATACAAATTTCTTCAGATAGGCGCTCATCCGGTACCCCAATTACCTGGCAAATATTAAGCAATAGATAACAAACCTTAAGTCACTCACCATAGGAATCAACGAGAACATTAATGACACAAAGCACTGTTCCGCTAAGCTCCGCCCCTTGTATAATTTTGCTACGGTCCTACGACAGCGTAGATGTACGCAGACACGTGCGTTACTACCATACTCGGGGCAGGGCGAAACACGTACTATTTATTAGGCCTATTTTAGCCTGGTTGTAAAACTACTGAAATAAACTTTAGCGGGAAAAAAGTAAATCAATTTTTGGTTTTTCTGAATCAGCATACCCTATAGTGAAAAAGAAAAAGAAATCCCCATGCCTAGGGCTTGGGCAATTTTTTTTTACAGCACTTTGAAATTTTGGCCTAAAATACCCTATTTTAAACTATTTAAGATGGGGTAGGGAAAATAAATTTATGTTTTTGGTCACTTTTACATATACTGTGGATATGAAATGTAACAACAACTTGGCTATATAGTTACTCATCACTCTCATTAAAAAGTTTGATCGGAATGATGACGTCATAATGAAAAATTCCAAGATGGCGTCAATTATGGTGGGGGAAAACTATGTTTTTAATGTAAAAATCATTTTATTGTTATCAAAGTACAATACAATCTCAATACAATATTATACATACATACATA